ACTTAACACCTGGACACTAATTATCTAATTAATTTGTGCAGAAAGTTACAGAAAAATAACAATTGGAGTTACTCAAATTACAATGCATCAAAATTTTTAAAATCAAAATGTAATTCTTAATCCACTGATGATTTCTACAAGAAATGTTTTGCCAAGCGAAAAATATAAGGCCTATTGAATGATGTGAAAATGATGATATCATTATAAGGCACTACACATGCTTGTGAACAACTTTTTAAAAATGCTAAGTATACTAAAAGTGGTTTAGGAACAAAATTGGGTGATGACCACCAAGATGATGTTTTGTTCCTGTCATCAACAAATATTTCACCTGGTGGAGAAGTTATAAAATGACAAGCAGAAACAAAACCTCATTAAATAATTCACCATTTTTAACTATATTTCATTTGTAGTAAGAAATTTGCATTTTTTTTTTATTGTGTTAGTTGTTATCCTGTTATTCTTGCAGTAAAATAAGCAACCTTGTTTAAATAAGGTAACATTATCTGTTTTTTATTTAAACCTCCAGACCAAAGCAACCTTCTGGATGGAGTGGTTTGAGGCCAAAACAAGTTATTAACATATTTGATATCATGGACCACGACAGAGATACTGCTTAGCTTTCTGGCCTACTCTCTCTCCAAAATGTTGCCGACCCCTGATTTAAATGTTGAAAGTGAAATTTGATTTAAAATATACGCAAAAACATATTTGTCAAACTAACAATATCACTGTTCTAATTTGACTGACAATTCGACTTGAATACAGATTTTAAAAAAAAAAAAAAAAAAGAAAAAAGGATTACATTTGTAAAGCTGGTATTGTCTGCATATTACAGTGTTAACAAATATATAATCGTAAGGTGCTTATCAGTAACTTTTACTTAAAATGTATGTTTCATTCATTTATTTAGTTAGCACATTTTGTGCCGTTGTGGTCACCACTCACCCTCCGTCTCACAATTATGGTTCATGGCGAGTTCTAAGTGCAATGGTTTGGTTTGGTTTTACTGCATATGAACCTCAATGGGTTATTTAATGCTGACAAAATTTTTATTGTTGGTAATATTTTTTTTTAAATCTATTTCTGGTAAAATTTTTCCTTCAAAAATTCTATTTCTGATAATAATTTTCTTTCAAATATGTATAGCTGGTAATATATATTTCTCTTTTTTTTTTTTTCAAAAAATGTATAGCTGGTAATATATATTTCTCTTTTTTTTTTTCTTTTTTTTTCAAAAATGTATTGCTGGCAACATTTGATTTTCAAAAATGTATTGCTGGCAACATTTGATTTTCAAAAATGCATTGCTGGCAACATTTGATTTTCAAAAATGCATTGCTGGCAACATTTGATTTTCAAAAATGTATTACTAGCAACATTTGATTTTCAAAAATGTATTGCTGGCAACATTTGATTTTCAAAAATGTATTGCTGGCAACATTTGATTTTCAAAAATGCATTGCTGGCAACATTTGATTTTCAAAAATGCATTGCTGGCAACATTTGATTTTCAAAAATGCATTGCTGGCAACATTTGATTTTCAAAAATGTATTACTAGCAACATTTGATTTTCAAAAATGTATTGCTGGCAACATTTGATTTTCAAAAATGCATTGCTGGCAACATTTGATTTTCAAAAATGCATTGCTGGCAACATTTGATTTTCAAAAATGTATTACTAGCAACATTTGATTTTCAAAAATGTATTGCTGGCAATAATTTTTTTTTTTTTTTTTTTTAAATATTTCTGGTATTAAAACCTATTTTTACACTTTCATAGTGTTTTCACCCCAGTTACAATTCCATTGAATAATGTTTTGCATCTTGATTATGTATTACGAATTATGAATTTTTACATGTCCATTTTTTTTTTTTTTATATGGGTGAAGTGTCCATCATTTCTATATACTTAAGACTATTAGTATTTTGTTTTTTGTTATGTTTTGTTCTTTGAACTTCTTTTGTTTCTAATTTCTTGTTTGATTTGGCTCCCTTAGTTTTACCATTCGGTTCTTTCAATGAACTTTGTCTAGATGATGATCTTTCCCTTGTTTGTGATGGGTTAGTTTTGTTCCTCTATGTCCATTTTCCTTGGTCCTTCAATATTCGTTTCATTATTTTTTTTTTTTTTGTACCTTTTCATTCTCTTCATAATGTTTCGATGTTTCTATTTCTTGGATTTTTTTTTTTAATTTGGATTTTTTCGGGTTTAATAGTTTTGTAGATGTAGAGTCATTTTTGTTTGCGGTTGACAATATAGGGTTTGTTTTTCCATTATGTTCTTTTAATGACCTTTGTATAGATGATGACTGGTCCCTTGTTTGTGATGGGCTAAAGTTTGGTTCCTCTATGTCCATTTCTCTTGATTCTTCACTAAAAGTTGAGTTACTTTTTTTTTTTTTTTTTATGTACCTTTTGATTCTCTTGAGAATATTCAGAGGTTTCTATTTCTTGGATTTTTGGACTTTGGTTGGGAATTTTTGGATTTAATTGTTTTGTACATGTAGAGACTTTTTTGTTTGAGGTTGACAGGATACTTTTGACTATGGGCATTTGATTTATGAGTGATATACTACATTTTAGTAGTTCTATTAAACTTTGTTAATAAGAGTTAAAAGATCTTGGCTTCTTAATGCATTGTTTCCTTGGATGACTTTTTGTTGATTTGATATTTTAGTGATATTTGCATATGATGCTTCAAGTGAATTAGATTCAACTATTTCCTGGCTTCTTGGAATGAGATATTTTGTATGTATTTTCTTCTAATTATTTCCTTTTTCCAAATGTTACACTCTTTGGAGTCTGTTGGACATTTTTCTTTACAGTTTGATCATAAAGGAGGCCTTTCACAAGGTGATTCATCATGCTCAGTTTCTGGTTCCCCACATCTTCAACAGACTGAAGTTCTCGTACAAACATTTTGAAGATGACCAAATTTTTGACATTCATGACATCTACGGGGATTAGGAATGTATGGCTCTACCTTGGCTATTGTGTAACCTCTTTTAGTAGAGTCGGTTTGTCAAATGTCAAAATGTATGTGTTGGTGTTTATTACTGTGTCATTTCTTTTTACTTGCATTCTTTTAACATCTGTTACTCCTTGCTTTTTTAAGGTGTCATCATTTTCAATTTCTTCTGATGAACAATGTGACAGTTCTGGGCATTTTATTACTCCTTTTGATGAATTAAGGAATTGATGGGGTTTGGCCTTAACTTTATTGTTGTCAATTTGCTTGATTTTTAGCAATTTCTCTGCATCTTTTTTGGATATCACTTGAATTAATAGAGTATTATTTTTCTTTATTTTTTTAACAGATTGTGGTTTGATCATGCCTGAAATAACCCTTTGCAACACAAAAGGAAACACTTTTGATATATCACCCTCTACTGATTCTCCAACAATGAAAGTTGGAAAATGATTTTTTTTTTTTTTCATCTTCGCTTTCAGAAGTCTCATATTGTCTCTTGGTTCACTTATAAGAGATAGCCATATAATTTTAATTTTTGTATTTGCTGTCTGTGCTCCTCACCCACCTCAGAGTTCCTTCAGGGGACTAATCCCATTCACCCTAATACACCAAGGCTACACACACAGTAGAGTTGTGATGAGAGTGGATACAAGCACCTGCACTCCCCCACCATATCTACCCAAGTATAGTGTGATGTAAGGTTTCATGACTCTGTCGGACCCATTATCTATCATCCCAACTAGCCCTTGCCACTATGAGACTAGCCAATTGGAATGGATTGGGCTATTCCATCCGCCTGTCTATCCCAGGTAGGGACTGAAGTGATGTGTTGTGGAAACTCCTGGTCATTTTATACCAGATACTCCGTCCCCAGGCATCACGAGTCATCACCCATGGCAAATGGGTGGCCCCATTTATGGAAAATTTTAGTTTTTTGAAATCGGGTTTTGTCAATGTGCCCTTTATATACTGCAATTTGTGTTGATGGTATTATTATTACAAAAAACCCACTCTTACACTTTCCTAGTATTCAGACTCCAGATCAAGGGAGGGGGGAAACTATTTACCCATAGCTGGGACCGTAACGGGTGCTACCACCCTGGGTCAGGGTGGAACCAGGAACAACAGCAACTAAGAGGCAGTTCCACGCTCCTCAAAACCACCTGATCAGAGGTTTTGCTGCTGGATGCAGTTTATTGTCATACCTAGGACACAATAGTGCAATGGCTGCCCGCGCCTTTTGCACAGGGGATGTTGAGGTTACCCCATCACTTCTCTCAAATGTTAAAGAAGCAAGACCTACAAGGCAACAGATGATTAGAATTCAATTTCCTTCTCCTAGACTGGCAATCGTTTATAGAGATCCTGCACTGCCCAGAATACATGGCCCCTCTCTTGGCCATACCAACAAGATCCAAAGGAATATATTAATATTCCTATGAAAACTAATTCAGTGAAATTATGGCAAGAGAAAAATAGAAGTTAATAAATGTATCTTAGTATTTACAAGTTAATTTTAGCAAGCTCTAAATGAAACAATCAGGTGGCAAATGTGAAGACGAGGTATGTCACAAACAAGAAGAGGTGAAGGAGTCCACCCAGACAGCAAACTTGAAGAAATATATCATTCATGGAGATGTATCAGGTCACAAAACCTAGTTTTAATAACTCATGTTTAACTCAAAGGTAGAAAATGATAAGAAAATAGTTTATTTTCAGTTGGTATAGTGACATAAAAAAGTGTGTCAGAAATTAGATTCAAATTGTTGTTAGACCTTTCTGGAGATACCATCCTAAAGTGTGACTAGAGTAGTGTGTGCGTGTGTCTGTGTATATATATATATATATATATATATATATATATATATATAAATAAAAAAAGGCACATGCCATCAGTAATTACTCAGGGTAGGCATGTAGTAAATCAATAAAAAAATAAAATATTTCACATTTTATGCATAATAATCAGAGTAACCTTCATAATTTTGTTGGATTAGGTGCATATTGTGCCAAAGAAGGCCGAGATCAAGATGGGGGAGAGAGGGAGAGAAACAGGGAGGAAAGGAGAGAGGGAGAGAAACAGGGAGGAAAGGAGAGGGAGAGAAACAGGGAGGGAAAGGGGAGAGGGAGAAACAGGGAGGAAAGGAGGAGGAGAAACAGGGAGGAAAGGGAGGGAGAGAAACAGGGAGGAAAGGAGAGGGAGAGAAACAGGGAGGAAAGGAGAGAGGGAGAGAAACAGGGAGGAAAGGAGAGAGGGAGAGAAACAGGGAGGAAAGGAGAGAGGGAGAGAAACAGGGAGGAAAGGAGAGGAGGAGAGAAACAGGGAAAGGAGGAGAGAAACAGGGGGAAAGGAGAGAAACAGGGAGGAAAGGAGAGAGGGAGAGAGAGAGACAGGGAGGAAGAGAGAGAGGGAGAGAGACAGGGAGGAAGGGAGAGAGGGAGAGAGACAGGGAGGAAGGGAGAGAGACAGGGAGGAAGGGAGAGAGGGAGAGAGACAGGAAGGGAGAGAGGGAGACAGGGAAGTAGGGAGGGAGATATAACTACAGATACACACATTTTACCATAATCTGAGAGCGCTGTTAATACACAAACACACAGAAATAGAGATCTCCGTCTAAGATAGTACATCTAATGAAACCAGAAAATGTATTCCTTTATATAAGGGATTGCAGATAAATCATAAAACATTCAAATTACATTGCATCAGACTTCCTCTGAGGACATAATATTAAAACTCCCTCATAAAATACATCAGCATTAATTATTAATCTCGTCGATATTTCAACCAATCCTCTTAACCTGTATATCACAAAGTTTTAAGAGAAAGTACAATATTAAATTTACATAAATATTTTATAAGCTCAGTACCCACAAAAACTAGTAGAATTATTCTTGTGCAGATCAGCATGTCTGTGCCAGATCAGAGAAAAATATTCTCTACCCGACAGGGTAGATCAGTGTAATATATGTGCATTTTGCCTAGCTTAGAGATGGCAAGTTAATTTTACAGGGCTATTTAAGAAAGAAAATGTTAGTGTAATGGGTACATCACTTTATTTTGCTTCGCTCTAGATCATTCAAATTAAAGAAAGATTCACTTTTCTAATTTTATGTATTTCTTTGCTTTAGTATGTCAATTTGAAGACACAGTAACAAAGAAAATGTCACTTTTCATATGACCAATTTCATAAATATTTCTAAAGTTTATATTGCCCTCAGATACTAATATATAAATAAAATAAAACCAAGTAGTACGCCTACCTAATAGTTTCTCACCAATATTGTCATTTTCTTTCTAACTAAAGTAAGCTATCTGTCCATATTTCTGACATTGCAACTATTTACACTGCTTGGGCTTTTATCCTTATTGTTGTCACATTCCCAACTTTTCATCTGGCCTTCTTCAGGTGATATTAGTTTGAATTTCAAACCAAAATTAGAGTAGTTAATCTGTATGATGGCATTTCTGAAAATTGGTTCGATGTTGTTTCTGTAGATGTTCTTATGTTTATTTACTGAAATGGGCTGACATACGGAGGAAATAAAACAACAGATTCTCAGTAACATTACTGAGCGGCCCAAGAATGTGAAGGTTATACATCAGCTCATTTTAGAAAATAATTATGGAAAGAAAATCTACACAAATACCATGGAACCAAATTTAAGAAATACAAACATACAGATTGACTAATCTGTGCTTGGTTTGAAATTCAAACAAATATCGTCTGAAGAAGCCCAGAGCATACAACAGCTGAAACGTTGTGAATGTGACAATAGATATGAAGACAATCAAACAATGTAAATAGTGTAAAGTCAGCTAGCTTAGTAGACAATAACTTTTATTGGGAATTTTATCTTCACTTAGTAGCCTAAATGATGACCTTGTGCCAAACTAATCTAATTAGTGATGAAATAGTTCAGTTTCATAGTTTTCTGGTTCCCACAGGCATCAGTAGTTGGTGTTAAAAACCAATTAAGAAATGCTATTCCAAATGCAGATTTTCAAGGCATACAAACTTGAAAACTCTGTGCAACATAATCTTCCTACATACAACTTTGTGGTTAACTCTAATGAAGATAAAAACAATTTTTTAAAAAAAAAAAAAAAAATTACCATAAACAGTGTAGTGGTCAATGTGTAAGCTTTACATAGTAAAGTGTAGTTACAAGTATAGTTAGTACTAGCTGTAGAGCCCGGCATTGCCCGGGGATGTAACAGTAAGAGATAGATCAAGTATCGACCATCATAAAGACTGAAAAATAAAATTGACAAAGATTATTGTTTAAGGTTGACGGACACGCATGTCTTAATTCGTTTTTTTTTTTCTTTTTACGAATTGGTCAAACCCAAACTCAAACAAAAACATTGTTTTCAATTGTTATGAGTCTACCGATTGAATAGAATTTTATTATAGACAATTGTCTTGTAAATGGAATTTTTAAAGCAAAATTTACTAAAAGTTATAAAAAACAGGAAATTGTGGAGAGTCAGGATTGCCATCTTCATGAAGGGACACAGCACGTAGAAGAAACGTATGGCATCACAAGCGCTGAAAGGGAGAATAAGGGTAATATTAACCATTTCCTTATATGGAATCATTTGGCACTCACTGAGGAAACAGCCAGTGGTGCTTCTTGGTTGATATTTACAAAATCTTTCTATTAAAACTATTTTACAAAAATAAAAAAAAATGGTTTCACAAATTTATTTCATCACTCTTTCCTGTATTCATGGGTACTTTCATCTTAAGCTTTTGCTCAAAATTGTGCGGAACATTAACATTTTGATTATATCATTTTCTCTTTGAATGACTATCCATTCTAGTTGTTGCTACTGTTGAAAGTCCTCAAGTGATGTGATTTTTTTTTATTTGTTATAGTTCTTTGTGATTCTGTACTACCTACCAGTCAACAAGTTTTGAAAAAGGATACTAAGAACTAAAAGGTTCATCCACTTGAAGCCATTTTTAGTCATTGATCTGAGAAAACTCTTGTATACAGATATTCCTGAACAAGTTTTGCATCATTTATTACATCCAAAAAATTGTGATCTGACAAGACTATTTAAGAATATGACATGTTTTTAGATTAATAACTATAAAGGAAAGTAAATTGTGGAGAGCCACAATTACCAACATCCTGAAGGAACATGGCACATAAGATTGTAAATGAGTGAAAAGCAACCTCTCATCTTGAAAGTCAGTGAAACATTTAAAAAAGTCACCTTGTGCCAGACTTTGCTTAATCCTGAAAAAATAACAAGTAAAAATTTGCAATTGATTCTGAAAGGTCAATTAATGGAACACTAAACAAAGGCTACGTAGGAATATCTGAATATTATCTGCCCAGTAATGGCAAAAAAAAAAACAAAAAAAACTCAACTTTTCTACTTCAAGAGTAATGACACTAAATTAATCAATATATTCTCTCAGGATTAACTATCTTACATAGGTTGGGGTGCTGAAAAGTTATTAGCCCAAGTCACTTTCCAACATCTGATTAAACAGAATTATTTTAGTTAGGTTAACAACCATAAACAACTTCTGACAAGTGGACTAAACAATTGCAAAAAGTTTAGTGTACTAAACTCTGGAGTCAGGGTGCAGAATAAAACATCAAGTTTCAAACTGTCTACTTATTTTTAAGAGGATCGTATTGTAATTACTTAGTTTCTTAGTATCCTTATTAAAGGAAGAAAGAAAATTACCATCTTAATGTATATTCATTTTATTCCAAGTACTTCCAACATTAGCACAATGTCACATCAAGGTCTTTTTTTTTTTCTAAAACAAAAAATTGTTGTGTTCATCATTTTTCTGAGATAAAATTGTTGTGTTCATCTGAAAATTAAATTTTTATGTGTGAAGTGAAAAACACTAAGGTTATATACTGCACAATTTTTAAATTTTATCATGCAGACATGCTTACAAACCTCAAGGGAGGTAACTAAGTTATTGAAATGTCTAAATAATTATTTTAAATGTCCCTTTAATAAGGATACTAAAAACTTGTTGAATTACAAGTGGATTCTATTAAAAATAAGTAAACAAAACTCGTCTAAATTATTTAATGAGAAATGTCTATATATATATATATATATATATATATATAAAGGATGAGACAAAGTGGAACATTTATTAATGACATGTATGCTCTCTTTGGCCTCCACAGTTTAAAATGAAAAAAGACAAAACTATATGTAAGGAAAAGTACCTTGTGATCTCAAACAGCTTTAATATAGATAAAACAAACAAATAGGCAGGCAGACACTCTCTGGAGTCTGAACATTGGGAGGTGATGTGATTTGATTTATGATTCCCACTTACCATCTGAGATCCCAAGTCAATTTTCCTTATATACAGTTTTGTTCTTTCTTTCATTCTAACTGGAGGAAGCAAAAAAGAGCTTCCACTCCCAGTTAAATGTGTCATTAATAAATTTTCCACTGTCTTCACTTCTGTTTAGGATACTATTATACATCCTATACATGCATATACACACACACACATTTATTTATTTTTATATATATATATATATATATATATATACATAAAAAGAAAGAACAGTATATAATCCGGTGTTCTTATAGATATTTTTATTTTTACAAAATAGTGCTCAATGTAAATTTACAGAGCATTAATATTATAAATTAATTGATTTAAAATATTTTTTTTTTTTTTGCTACACAGTTCTAACCATGTTTCAAAAATGGAAGCTGAAAGCTCCGAATTTAACTTTGTAATTAAATTAAAGGCATTAGTTCTATTTCATCCTCAAGCGAATTGCTAAATTCGGAGCTTTCAGCTTCCATTTTTGAAACATGGTTAGAACTGTGTAGCAAAAAAAAAAACATTTTAAATCAATTAATTTATAATATATATACACAAAGAGAGAGAAGGGGGAGGGTTACTGTAGAAATTGTTATAATGAATAAGGTGTGTGATATAAAGAATAGAGGATGTGTTATGAAGATAAGAACAAAAGATGACAATTTACTTTTAACTTGAAGATGTCAAATCAGAAGTGTCCAGAAAAGTGTGAGTCTTACAAAGTGGCAGTTTTAAAGAAAAAACTGCTTCAATGGAAATTTGTGCTAACATTTGAAACATGGTGGAAATTAGGGTGATCAGGCTCCATGAAAGAATGGAGCACTTAATTGAACATTTGCCATAGAAATAACAATTGAGCACCAATAGGCTTGCAACATTGAATTTGTGGGGAAAGAGGTTACAGAGTGGATATTGACAACCCAATATAATTATATTTGATAACAAAGACTTTGCTAGCACTGAGATTTATGGACATAGATGTGTCTTTGATTCAAGTATAAAAATGGTATCAGAGCAGACAGACAGCAAATAAAGAATGAAAAAATGAAATGACTGAATACTACCAGGAAGAGAAGTTATTTCATTTAACTGCCCCATATAACAAAATTATATAAAAGCGAGAAATGTTTTTAAACTAAATGGAAAACACTTCCCAGTACACTCCATAAAACATTTAATAGAGACACTGACAATATATTCAGACAAATAAAAAACTCCAAAACATTA